GCGTCCTGTGCTAAGCCTATGCCAACGGGAGATCCGCACGACTCGTGTCTGAAGTGTTTAGGAGAGTCCCACCAAACAGATAAGGGCAAAATCTGTAAGGCTTTCAGACCCAGGACCAAAAAGGAGCGGGACTTTCGACTCAAGCAGCTCCTCATGGAGGCGGCACTTAGCCCATATCCTCCCTCGGCACGGCAAATTCCAGCACCTGCGGCAAGTCTTGGAGCAGGTCCCGACGCCGCTCGCAGTCCCGGCGCAGACTTTCACCCTGGCACCGGTCGTACTCACGGCCTAGGTCCTCTTCACGGCACCAATCTACGTCTCAGCACCGTCGGGATCATCGGTACCGATCGGAGTCGTGACGTAGCTCTCGGCACCGGTATGAGTGCCGCTCCAGTTCAAGGGGCCACTCCCGGCACCACGTCTACAGGCGGTCGTCGTCGTCTCGGTCCAGATCTGGATCTCAGCACCAACGGCACCGATCTCGATCACGGTACCGCTCACCGGCACCACGCGGGGACCGCTCACCTGAGGACTGGCACTGATCGGCACCGTATCGTATGGAGCCCATTCAGACGCGTTCGGCACTGCCTTGGCCCTCGAGATCAGCATCTCACTCCTCCGACGGCGCTTCACGATCAGCATACCCTCCTCAGGGTCAAGCTGCCGCTGACTTGGGTCACTGGCAGGAGGGGGCAGAGGACCCTGCGCAGGACCCTACGCATTGGCCTTTCTGGACTCTGTGGGCGTATCACCAAGCGCAAGGGGCTCCACCATCAGCCTCTCGCTCGGCACGCTCGCTCGGCATGGCCAGCAGGCAGTAGCACCCAAATCGAAGGACGCTAAACGCTTCGATTTGTTCGAGTGTAAAGTGTATTCCGCCGAGGGTTTGAAGCTCAGAGCCGCGAACCAACAGGCGCTCTTGAGCCGCTACAGTTACAACTCATGGAACTCCATGGGTAAATTCAAAGAGTTGGTTCCCCAGGACTCAAGAGAGGAGTTCGGGGCCTTAGTGGAGGAAGGTAAGATGGTGGCTAGGACCTCCTTGCAAGCCTCTTTGGACATAGCGGACTCTGCCGCCAGGACTCTAGCATCGGGCATAGCCATGCGACGCGTCTCCTGGCTCCAGGTTTCGGGCTTGCCGCCAGAACTGCAGCAGACCCTGCAGGATTTACCGTTCGAGGGCCAGGGACTGTTCTCGGATAAGACGGACTCTCGATTGCAGAGCCTCAAGGACTTGAGAACCATCATGCGCTCCCTGGGGATGCATGTCCCAGAGCCCCAGTGCAGACCCTTTAGGCCCCAGCTGCAAAGGTTCTACCCTCCCCCACCTCGTCCGAGACAGGACTTTCCCAGAAGGCGGGGTCGAGGTGGTAGACGAAGGTCGACCACCCCTCAACCCGGTCAGAACCAGGGCCCGCCTAGACCACCTTCAGGTCCTAGACAAACTTTTGAAGGTGCGCTTGAGGACGGCGCCCCAGCCACTACCCAGGATCCATTGCCCTCCTTTCGGGATCGCCTCTCCCGTTTCCACCGTGCTTGGTTCCTTATAACCTCGGACCGTTGGGTCCTTCACATGGTGGAGAGAGGATATGCTCTCCAGTTCTCTTCGTTCCCCCGCTCTCACCCCCCCTCCCCGTCCATCTTCAGGGACCCTTCTCACAAGCATCTCCTTATACAGGAGGTTTTAGGCCTCCTCGCTATGGGGGCCATAGAGGAGGTGCCCCCGGAGTTAAGGGGCAGGGGGTTCTACTCCTGCTACTTCCTGATCCCCAAGTCAAAAGGGGGTCTGCGACCCATTTTAGACTTACGCGGACTCAACAAATTCATAGTAAAGTTGAAGTTCCGCATGGTCTCCTTGGGGTCATCGTCCCCTCCCTGGATCCTGGAGACTGGTTCGCCACCCTCGACATGAAGGACGCATATTTTCATATAGCAATCTACCCACCCCCGCCCCACAGGCGCTTCCTTCGATTTGTAGTAAACGAGATGCACTACCAATTTGCCGTCCTTCCCTTCGGCTTGTCCGCGGCTCCGAGAGTGTTCACAAAATGTATGGCTGTCGTGGCAGCATACCTTCGTCAATAGAGGATACAGGTGTTCCCGTATCTAGACGACTGGCTGGTGCGCGGCCACACCAGGGAGCAAGTTCAAGCTCACATCCAGATAATACTGCAAACATTCCACAAGTTAGGCATTCTACTCAACAAGGAGAAGTCCACTCTGGAGCCAACCCAGAGAATAGAGTTTATCGGGGCAGTCTTAGACTCCAGACTCGTCCGAGCTCTTCTGCCAGACACTCGGTTTCACACCATCATAAACATCATCCACGGACTCCAGGTCTTCCCGATTACCACAATAAGGACGTGCCTCGGCCTGTTGGGACACATGGCCTCTTGTACTTACGTAACCAGCCATGCCAGACTTTGGCTTCGCCCACTTCAGGCCTGGGTATCGTCAGTGTACCATCCTTATCGGGACAAACTGAGCATGGTGCAGGCCACTTTCGGCCCTGGAGGCTCTAAACAGTCCTGCTTTGTTATTGCAAGTTGATTAATTTGAAAACCTGGCAACATATTGTGACAAAAACAATCGACTTTAGAACTGCATAAAAACTACCCAAACCATCAGGTTTGCTACAAGGGGGGAATTTTTCAGCTTATATATTAGTCTTGGAAAAGGTCACCATTGTTTCTGTGGAGAAAACATAGCCTTGCCCAATAAGGCTCCCTACTGGGGAAAGGCTGTGAAGGGTACAAGAGTGGTCAAAGACAACAAAGTCTAAGAAATTGGGAATAAGGGGAGACTTCAACAACCCTTGTCTAAAATGGTCAAGTATTCACACTGCAAGGTTTAGAGATGCAATTTCTTGACACTTTAAATGATTGCTTCTTGGAACGGTTAGTAACAGGGGACACATGCAGAGAGGGTGCTCATGACTTCATCCAAAGTAAGACTCTGGAGTCGGTGTGAGAAGTAACGACACTTGAGCCATTAAGTAACCGTGACCGCAGTATAATTAAATTCAACATCCATGGGGGGGGGAGGGAAGGTAGCATGGTGATGCTAATCTTTAGAAAGGCAGATTTAATAAAATGAGGAAGGCACTACAGTCAAAAGTCAAGACATTAAAATTAGATTTTGCCTGGAGGCTGCAATAACAGAGTCTGTAAAGGCCCACACCCCTCAAATCAGAGAGGGAAGCAAAATGACAAGAACAAATACCCAAAGCTATAAAAACAAACAGCAAGAAATTCTTTAAGTAAGTCAGAAGCAGGAAGCCTGCATGGAAATCAGTGGGTCCACTGGACCCCCAGGGGATACAGGGAGCAATTATGTAGGATAAGGACACTGAAGAGAGGCTAAATGATTTCTTTGCCTCAGTCTTCAGCAATTGTTGGGGAGACACCAACGCCAGCCATGGTCAGTAATAGAGATGAAGAACTAGGAGAGTGAGATGTCCACGGAGGTGGTATTGGAACAAACTGATAAATTAGAGCAACAAGTCCACAGATGCTGCACTGCTCAGGGTTCTGAAGGACTTGAAGGATGACGTGGCTGAGCTGCTTACAGGAATGTGCAATCTGTCAGCGACTGCCCCAGAGGATCGGAAGGTAACAAATGTTGAACCTATATTTGCAGCCAGCACAGAGCAGAGGAACAAACACAGGGCTAGCAGCCGTGAATCCCTCCCGTCTATTCCCACTTCTGCCGATGACAGACTTTAACAACATTTTGTGCTTAGGTCGAACTTTACAACATAATTTATTAAATTCCCAGGCCACACTTTTGAGACAGGTCAATGTTGTTATCCCCATTTTACTGGTAAGGGAGATTTTACCTGAGTGTCCCAAGATGTGCCAATAATACATTCTGTGATCCACACCCAGGCTTCCTTCATATGTAGCCACTTAACCACCATGACTGAACCCTTTATAACCACAAACTTCCCATAGCAATTCAATAGGCCAAGAAACACCCTCTCCCCACCACCACCCCCTTCAGAGGCATTGATTGATTGCGGAGCCAGCACAACAGCACATAGTTTATCGGGATCACTTGGTCCCTGAGATCACGTGTCCCAGCTGTGGAACACATTACAAGGAGCACTAGGTGGGATTCACTGCAAATCCTTCATTTTACAAGCACTGTAAACCCCATCTCTGGCCTTCGTAAGTGGGTCTGATACAGGGAGGGGAGGAAGATCATTTCTCAAGCACCCAGAAAATCCCTCTGGAAGCACGGAACCCAATGGTGCTAAAGAGACAGGCTGTGGAAGTGGGTTGCGCATCATATCTGTGGTGTTGAGTGATCACTAGTGCTTAGGTTCTTATTCTGTGTCCAGCTCCAAATAGGCTGTGCAGAACAACAAGAGCCTCCCACAGCCCCATCCAGACTCTCTGCCTAGGAAGCTGAGCCCTTCCCAGTCCCCCGATATCATGAGCAATATAAATAGTTCAGAGTTTGACTGAGCAAAATAGGGTAACTTGTTTTCCTGTTTGAGAAGGTTTCAGCTCCCACGTCAGGGCTGATAGCTTTATGCACTGGGGAATGTTTTGGGGAAGGCAGGGGAGCTTATAGAGAACCTTAGATTTCATTTGCTTGAGCAGAAAGGAACCAGGATACCAGCACTGGGAGAGGGTTTGAACTGTTCCTTGGTGTCTTTTAAGATTCTCCAGCCCATTGCGAACGCCCCCACGTGCTGGTCCCCTCCCTTCAGCTCATCTGAACATTCCCTTGTGGTACACGGAGTGACTGACAGAGCCAGGGACGTACGGACTTACACAGGGGCCTTTGGTGCTGACATCCCGCAGTCCTGCTAGAGCCCCGTGACTGGTCTCTTCTGAAGGTACCACCCCCTTCCAGGCAGACGCTGACATCAGAGAGGGAACTGCAGCAAACAGGGAGTGATTGTATGTTTCTGTCTTGGGCAGGTTGGGGCATTGCAGTCTCACAGCTGCTTGTTCTGGGGATCTCTTCTCTGCTTCCAGCACCAGCCAGCGCCTGACAGAGCTGGAACTGAAGAATAAAAAACTGGGAGATTCCCAAGTGCAGCTGCTGTGGGAGGGACCTCCAGACTGCAAAAAGCAGAAGATACAGTAAGTAACTTAAAAAAAAAATAAATAAAAAATAATGGAGATATCCCATCTCCTAGAACTGGAAGGGACCTTGAAAGGTCATTGAGTCCAGCCCCCTGCCTTCACTAGCAGGACCAAGTACTGATTTTGCCCCAGATCCCCAAGTGGCCCCCTCAAGGATTGAACTCACAACCCTGGGTTTAGCAGGCCAATGCTCAAACCACTGAGCTATCCCTCCCCCCCTTCACACAATGCACAGTCAACCTGGGAAACTCCTTGCCAGAGGATGTTGTGAAGGCCAAGACTATAACAGGGTTCAAAAAAGAACTAGATACATTCATGGAGGATAGGTCCATCAATGGCTATTAGCCAGGATGGGCAGGCATGGTGTCCCTAGCCTCTGTTTGCCAGAAGCTGGGAATGAGCGACAGGGGATGGATCACTTGATGATTGCCTGTTCTGTGCATTCCCTTTGGGGCACCTGGCATTGGCCCCTGTCAGAAGCCGGGGTACTGTGCTAGATGGACCTTTGGTCTGACCCAGTAGGGCCATTCTTATGTAACAGCTGGTTTTCTAAATCACCTGGGCCCAGCCCACCTGAGAAATCACCTCTCTTCCTATGACAGGCTGCCACAGCCGGGATGTTTGAACTGGGTCCCCTTTGTTATAAAAGAGAAGGGCCAGCTTGGTACAAAATAGCCTGCAGATATTCCAGATATGATGCAAAGGACACCTGTTTAACCTGGGTTTTGGAGAGGGCTGCTTCCCAGAGGATGTAGGAGTAGGAAGGATTTTTTGTGTAGAGCTTTGACTATTTATTTTAATGCTGCTGTGGATTGACTATAGTATTAATTATGTGTTAGGGGCCTAGAGCTCTGCACAGGTGTCTATATTTAAATTGAAATAAAATGATCTCTCACTCTTGTCTCTAAATTAGGAATCTCTTTGGAGATACATGTTGATAAGTGACAGGAAATACAGAGAATGGGGCCCAAACAAGTAGTTATTTTGCTCTCTGTCTATATCTGTCTCCTATAGGTTGCAGAGTTGCAGTCACACAACTGCCTGTTGTGGGAATCTCTCTTCTGTTCTCAGCACCAGCCAGACCCTGACAGAGTTAGACCTGAAGAACAACACCATCAGAGATTCAGGCGTGCAGCTGCTGTGTGAGGGACTGAAACATCCCAACTGCAAACTACAGAAACTAGGGTAAGGAACAGCTGATTTCCTCTCGTCTGTGCTAGTAAACATTGCACTATCCTGATTTCATTCTCCTAGGATCACAGAATGCTATGAATGCACCAACAACTCTTGAAAAACACCTACTCTTCCCAAGGAGTGGGAAAGAGGCCCACTGCTGTATAGATCTGTCATATGTTACTAACTGAGTTGAATCACACAATGATACTTCATACACTATAAATGAAGTGCATTTTAAAGTAGGTACTTGGGTTATTTTATTCACTAAGTGTGAAGGAGAACACAGTTATAGGAGACTTTCACAGTTTGATTAGAATAACCCTTTACCATCACCACAAGAACTAATCCTGGGACAAAGCCTGATAACTAGAAAAAGAGGAAAAAGGAAGAGGGAAAGAATAAAAAGACTATGAAATGAATCAGGAACAATCATTAGCTGGGGACTGTCTATGGGGGGGGCCAGGTACTTTATTCTTCACCCCTCTCTTCCTCAGCCTGCCCATCTCTCTAGGCACTGGCAGGTCCAGTTACCTCTGCAGGTCCAATTGCCTGGTCAGGCAACAATTCCAGGCAGCTATAAATGATTGTGAAGCTCTTTAGTTGATGAAAATCCCAGAGTAGGAGCCTAAGTGCCATTTCAGTCCAGCCCAGACACCTGGCTGAGTGGTTACAACATTCTCTTGGAGCTGTGGATTTAAAGTCTCTGGACTGGCTTCTTCATCACCAGAGAATGGGAAGGAAACGAACCAGAGAGGAGAAAATGAGGAGGGATGGATGCGAGTTAATGGAAGCACGTTTTGTGGCATTTGGGGCTAATAATACCGTTCTAGAAGCTCCAATCCCTTATACTGTCCTAGATCCCTCACCCGCATTCTAGTTCTGTGAGACGGCAACAGGTTCCTTGGACAGACACATCAATGGCAGCTTTCACAATTAAGGTTGCATGGGCAACCTATGTCTGGCATTTCCTACATTCTCAGTGTTTGACTTTGCAGCCTTAATGTTCTTTTAACATGAATTTGTTTTTGGTTTGCTTTGCTTTTTGATGTACATCAAGGGCCTAGTGCTTCGTGTAGGTGTCTTTATTATCATTTAAATCACAATAAATCAACAAAATGATTTCTCTCAGCTGTCTCCAAATTAAGAATCTTTGTAGAGCTACACAAGGATATCAAGGAAGGGAAGCACAGAGAATGGGGCACACTAGATAGTCATTTTACTCTCTGTACATCTGTCTCCTGCAGGTTGCACTCCTGCAGTCTCACAGCTGCTTGTTGTGGGGACCTCTCCTGTGTTCTCAGCACCAGCCAGGTCCTAACAGAGCTGGACAGAGAGGGGAACAAACTGGGAGAGTCAGGAGTGCAGCTGCTGTGTGAGGGGCTGAAACATCCCAACTGCAGAAACTAACGTAAGTAACAGCTGGCTCCCTTTAGCCTGTTAACACGGTAGTGGTGTGAGTTACACTCTATGTACCAGAATTGCAATATCCTGCAGTGCGCAGAACCCAGCCAGGGACCAGCCCCACTCTGCTCCAATGTGTTCACTGGTCACATTTTACTAGTTAAATAATTGAGCCCACTACATTATTCAGTCCCCAGCCCCTGCTGAGCAGGGCAGAGCAGCTGAGCAACTGCCCTAAAGGGGCATCCAAGGATCCCCCTGGCAGGGGTCAACCTTGGAAGGTGCCCAGCAAGTATTACCAGCTCAGTACCACCCATCTCCCCTGCTCAGCTTAGGGGTTGTGTAGGCTGCGTGGATAGATATAAGGGAGCAGAGCAGAGAAAGTGCGCGGTGCTCCCCCAGGTTCCAAGCTGGCAAAGCAGCTGGGGTAACTTAGAGCAGCCCTGAGGTTTCTCCGAACTATACGAGAGGCCCCTGGAGCCCCCATCTAGTCCTGGATCAGCTGGATCAGGGGAGCAGAAGGTGGCTTAGTGCCAATTTCTTCACCTCCAAGTCTCCTCATGGGTGCCACATATGAACTTGGGGCAGCTGAGGACAGAGTCCAGTGGCTTCTAGCAAACCCTAATCACAGCATAGTTTGATACTAGAAAGACAATTACTTTACTCACTAAGACAGTAGCCACCCACGTACACACTGCCCTGAACTGGAGCTGTCACTCCTGCTCTCCCAAAAGTCTGGAAAGAAAAGAAAACGAAGCACTGCTCTGTTCTCCCAAACTGGCCGTAAACAATAAATAACATCAGGATGAATGTGTTTCCCACAAAGGGGCTGGGACTCCCCCTGCTCATCACCTGTCATTTCAGGCCAAAATTTGCAGCGTCACCCAGCTACTGATAACACAGCCCAGCCAGCAAGTGTGTCACTGAGAGCCAGCTGTGGGCTGCCCCCGGTGCCCTTCTGGCCCATCCTTCTCATGGCAGATAATTAAGTGCTGGTCTGTGGCCCCACTGGCCAGAGCTCAGCCCTGTCATCTCTGATCTCCTCGGGGTCCCTCTGCATTTTCTTCCTGTCACCCAACCTTAGCAATTATCTCTCCCCTCCTGCTTGCGGGCTCCTCTCCCCACCGCATTGGGGCTGCTGCTCCCAGCCCCTGCCAGCCACAGCCTTCTTCCCTGATCAGCTCTCACCTTCCCACCTGACTCCTTGCCCTGGCTCTCAGGCTGCTGCTACTTGGCCTTCCCTCCCTGCTGCTCACCCTCACACACACTGGCCATCTCCCTCTCTGCCTGATTCCCCCAGTCCCAAGGATGTCACTTCTCTTTCCTTGTCATTCTGGGTCCCTGCCTTTCACAGAATAACCTCGGGGCCCAGTTCTTTCCCTTCACCCCATTCTCGATGGTGGGGTACCCAGTACTGGACCAGCAGCTCACTACAGCATATTGTTATGACTCCCCAACTCATTAGAAATGGCCCCTCAATATCAATGACATTTCTACACACTAACTGACGCAATAGGTACACGTGGAGAGAAAATCCCTCCAGGGCTTGTCGTGCCAATGGGAGCATTGTGATGTATCTCTGCATGTCCAGCATAGAGAATCTCCTTTGATACCAGGGAATGGGGCAAAAAATAAGCATTGTTTCCTCTTGGTGTAGCTCTGGCTTTTGCAGATTGGAGAAATGCGATTTCACAGCGGCGTGTTGCGGGGAGCTCTCCTCCGCTCTCAGCACCAGCCCAACCCTGGCCGAGCTGGACCTGCAGGAGAACAAACCGGAAGATTCCGGAGTGAAGCTGCTGTGTGAGGGGCTGACACAGCCAGCCTGCAACCTGCAGAAACGGGTGTACGTTAGAGCTGGCCCCCTGTAATCTGTGGTTGTCAGACGGGGTCACAATGATCCCTTTTTACTAGAATCAGTATTATTGGCCATGCCCCCAACCCAGGAACTGGCTCACATGCTTCTTCCACTGCGGTGCTGGTAGGGATCATTTTAGTAGTTAAAAAAGTTGGATAATATAGTGGTTTTCCTGAAGAGGAAAAGGAAAACTGCTTAAACAAGTCAGAGAGAAGGACAGGAGAGACAACAAGACTAGAGCAGATTGAAGCCAGATGGGAGGAATGGAAGCAGGTTCTGTGGAGCTTCGGGGTAGTAAATACCTTTAAAAAAAGATGTGTGTGCACAGTCCCAGAGATCCCCGTTTATTTCTGGGATATATAAGTGGGCCTGTGCAGAGACACCTCAAGGCAGCTTTCAGAACAATTTAGATTTGGAAACTTTATATTTTTAAATCAAGCATTTGGGAATAAGTGGCAGGATGTAAATGTAACTGGGCCAATGTAATGTGGAGACCCCCAGATCTGTTAGCCCTTGTAGCCGTCTCAAACTTTTATGTAAACCAGCCACTAGAGGGGGACAGAGCCACAGTGGGTAAAGGTGGGTTACACCAGCAGGTCCCTGTAGAACAGCACCATTCTTTTAACTAGAGCATGGGAGCCTGCCCGCCCACGTTTATTGTAAACAGACAAACCCCATTCCCCTGAACTGGCTGTAAAAGAAACACAAGAATAAGTGAAACTTTAATATCTTCCTGCAGCCAGGATGGTTATTGAGCTCCCATCTGCATTGCAGTAGTTTCCGGCCAAGTCTGCAGCCCCACAACAGCTGCTGCAAACTCACCCCCTTTAAGGTCTGTGTTACTGAAGCCTGTGGGGAGGGGGCGTGAGGATCCCCTGCAGCAATGAGAGCTGAGATCACTCTGCTTCCTTGGAGAGATTCTGTGACCTGGATTTTGCAGCCCCTGCTCCCTGTGAGCACTGAGTAGCCCCACAGCGATCAATGGGACTGTCCGTGTCAGTAAGTGCTCCCCACCCTGAGCAAGGGCTGCACAATCCAGCCCTCTACGTGCAGAAAGGACATTGCTGTCCCTGCCAAGAGCTCACAGGGTGAGTGGGGTGTGAGGGGAGCAGGCCCGGCTACAGACTGCACCAGCGCTTCTCCTCCCTTCCCCCAAGGGAAAGGCACCTGCTGGCAGTGAGCTCAGCAGGCAGGGGAGTGACATTGACAGATCCTGTGGGCTCTGGCAGGCAGATGAGAAAGAACCCAGTGGTGGGTAGCACACTGTGCCTTAGAGAAACTGTGGTGACAGGCATTATGTCTGCAGAGAATATACCATAAGAGCTGCCACACTAGGTCAGACCATGGTCCATCTTGTCCAGTGGCCAGTCTCTGACAATGGCCCATATAGAGTTTCAGGGGGAGTATAGGACAGGGCAATTTTGGAGTGATCCACCCAATCTTCCACTCTCAGCTTCTGGTAGTCAGAGGTTTAGGATTGTCCCACGCATGGGGTCACATCCCTGAGGATCTTGGTTTAAGAGCCACTGATGGGCCAATCCTCCATGAACTTATCCAATTCTTTTTTGAACTCAGTTATACTTCTGGCCATCACAGCATCCCATAGCAATGAGTTCCACAAGTCAGTTGTGCATTGTGTGAAAAAGTATTTTCTCTGGTTTGTATTAAACCTGCTGCCTATTAATTTCATTGGATGACCCCTGGTTTTTTGCATTGTTTGAAGGGGTAAACAACAGTTTTTCTCCACACCATCCATGATTTTATGGACCTCTAATATCCCCTTTAGTCATCTCCTTTCCAAGCTGAATAGCTCTAATCATTTTAGTCCTCATATGGAAGCTGTTCCATACCCATGATCATCCTTGTCGCCTTTCTCTGAACCTTTTCCAATTCCATTATATCCTTTTTGAGATGGGTGCGACCAGAACTGGATACAGTAGCCAAGATGTGGGTATACCATGGATTCATATGTGTCATTAATGATATTTTCTGTCTTATTATCTATTCCCTTTCCTAATCATAGAATCATAGAATCATAGAATATCAGAGTTGGAAGGGACCTCAAGAGGTCATCTAGTCCAACCCCCTGCTCAAAGCAGGACCAATTCCCAGCTAAATCATCCCAGCC